ATTAAAAAAATAATAAATTAGAAATAGAAAGTAATAGTAATAGCTATTTTATGCGATTACTACAAGATTAAAGAGCTACTACATTTAAAGTGCTTGGCACTAGGGTACTTGGCACATAAGCTTTCAATAAATCACAGTTGTGGTAGTTTTAATTTCTATCTCTGTTATGGAAGGATCAGGAAGAGAAAGAAGATTCAGCAAAGGAGACTGAGAAGCAGGCATTGAAAGAATCTGGGAGGGAGAAACTGTGACATAGGGATGTCAGAAACCAAGGGGAAAATAGTATCTAGAAGAAGGGGAATAATACATAGGAAGGTCATGCAAAGACTAGTTCCTCCTGAAAAAAGACTCATTTCCTTGCCAAGTGATTAATAGGAGTGAAGGGAGAAAGGGAAAAAATTATCAAAATTAGGCTATCAGACACAAAATTCTCTAAAAGCCTTCTTTTGGGTAACTCCCTTGGTTTGATCTGAATGCCCAAGTCCTCCAGGGAGAATCCATATATGTCCTGAATACTGGAAAAGCCAATGTTACCCAAAGTGAAATAAAGTATCAAGTGTGCATCATTTTGGTGAAAAAAAAAATCAGACAATTTTAAGTGTACAGGACAAAGAAGAGGATGGGGGAGGGAAGATATGGGGATAAATCATAGAGCAGTTTTACAAAGTAATGGTCTATACTGAACCTCCAAGCTAATGCCAGTGAAAAAAGGGCAGTGGTGGGTGTCACATTTATTTTTCTTTTTATTCTACCTGGTCCCAGAAAGAAATGACAGCATAAACTGTTTATTTGGGTAAATTATTCAACAAGCATTTATAGAGTAAAATTGAGAAAAGGTGAGCAGAAAGAGGAGTGAAACTTTAATATATGATAGAAGAGATCCCTTGCAAGGGAAGATTTAAAGAAAGGGAGGAATAAAGGGCTTATAAACCAAAAGTCAGGGAATGTTGGTGACCCCTGTGGCTTTGAGGGCCCAGGTGGGGCTTCCTGTGGCCTGGGGGTGGGGGACGAGACTTTTTTGGCTCTGGAGAGATGGAGTTGGCTATGAGGAGACTAGAGGTGTCCCCAGAGGGATGCAAGAAGTGGGCCTCATTGCTACAGGATTTCTTTTCTTCCTCTTCTTTTTTTAAGTTCCCACTTGAACATGATTTTTTTTTATTTAAATTCAATTTGCCAACATATAGTACACCATTATGATATGGGAGAGTTTGGTTCTTGTCTCATGGAATCTAAGAATTAATCTCTGGGACATTGGGGTGCAAGTGTCTTGGCTTTTCACTGCATCTGTATCTTTGGGTAAATCCCCTCTAGTGCCATTGCTGGGTTCTAGGGTAGCTCTATTTTTAACTCTTTGAGGAACCTCCACACAGTTTTCCAGAGTGCCTGTACCAGTTCACATTTCCACCAACAGTGCAAGAGGGTTCCCTTTTCTCCACATCCTCTCCAACATTTGTTGTTTCCTGTCTTGTTAATTTTCACCATTGTCACTGGTGTGAGGTGGTATCTCATTGTGGTTTTGATTTGTATTTCCCCGATGGCAAGTGATGTGGAACATTTTCTCATGTGCTTGTTGGCCATGTCTATGTCTTCTTCGGTGAAATTTCTGTTCATGTCTTTTGCCCATTTCATGATTGGATTGTTTGTTTCTTGGCTGTTGAGTTTAATGAGTTCTTTATAGATCTTGGATACTATCCCTTTATCTGATATGTCATTTACAAATATCTTCTGCCATTCTGTAGGTTGTCTTTGAGTTTTGTTGACTGTTTCTTTTGCTGTTCAGAAGCTTTGGGTCTTGATTAAGTCCCAATAGTTCATTTTTACTTTTGTTTCCCTTGCCTTCATAGATGTATCTTGCAAGAAGTTGCTGTGGCCAAGTTCAAAAAGGGTGTTGCCTGTGTTCTCCTCTAGGATTTTTATAGCAGCAATGTCCACAATAGCCAAACTGTGGAAGGAGCCTCTGTGTCCATCGAAAGATGAATGGATAAAGAAGATGTTGTATATACATATATAACTCAGCCATTAGAATATATATATATATATATATATATATATTACTCATTAGTATATATATATATTACTCAGCCATTAGAAACGACGAATATCCACCATTTGCTTCAATGTGGATGGAACTGGCAGGTATTATGCTGAGTGAAGTAAGTCAACCGGAGCAGGACAATCTTTATATGGTTTCACTCATACGGATAATATAAAAAATGGTGAAAGGGATTATAGGGGAAAGGAGAGAAAATGAGTGGGAAAAATTAGAGAGACAAACCATGAGAGACTCCTAACTCTGGGAAATGAACAAGGGGTAGTGGAAGGGCAGGTGGGCAGGGGATGGGGTGACTGGGTGACAGGCACTGAGGGAGCACTTGACGGGATGAGTGCTGGGTGTTATACTATATGTTGGCAAATCAAACTCCACTAAAAAAAAAAAAAAGAATCTCAGGGACACAGGAGAATGAGTCAAGCAACAAATATTTATTAAGCAAAGATAGAGAAAGGTCTCAGAAGTGAGAGGGATCCCAACGGGGTTGCCTCTGAGGGCTTCTGGCCTGGCCTTTTATTAGGAACCTACCAGGGAACCCAAGGCCTTGAGATTTCTTTGTGTGGTCTCAAGTGATTGACATATGGCTGTTTTGGGGTCTGGTGAATCTCTGGAATTGTTTGGTAACTGTCAAAGGGAGATATTTCGGGGCTAAGAAGGTTAATTTATTTTCTTCTCTGTTTTTACTGTCTTATCTCTGTTTTCTTGGGATGGGTAGGAGCCTGACTCTGGACCATTTGGTGTCCTTGGGATTTATGGGAGCCCACAGATTTATAGGAGCCTGACTCTGGGCCTTTCCCTTATCTTTCTTTGCCTAGCCCCATCTGTCCTAACTCATTCCTACATCAATTAGTTTCAGATATAGTTTTCAGCAATTCCTCAGTTGTGTATAACGCCCAGTGCTCATCACAATCCTTCCATGCCTGTGGTTCTTGGTCATGCCCCTTCGAAGAATGAAGAGGTAGACCAGACAGACGAAGGGTGGTAGGCAGCAGAGCAAAGTTTATTGAGTATTGTACAAAGTTCCCTAAGAGGGAGGGCACCAGATAGGGTTGCCACAGGAGTTTCTAAGTCAAAGGGGTTTTATGGGCTTGTTGGTGGGCTGTTTTACTCTGATTAACCCTCCATGTGCCTGTCATCCAATCAGCTATTTGTCATCTATCTAATGTGTGGGAAAGGGTGGAAGGCTCCTTCGAGGGTGGTATAAAATCCTTTTAAGGGTGGTCTCCTCTTAGGGCAGGGGCCCCTTTCCCCTGCCTGCCTTTCTCCAACTATCCTTCATCACTCATGAGCCTTTGCTTCTGGTCAGTTCTCAGCTAAAGGATCTGAGGCACAAGGGCCCTGCCAGTCTCCTTCTGGCCATGAGGTTAAGGAGGTGAAGCTTGAGGCAAACATGGGGTGCTTGGCATAGGGGAGGGATGCTGGCAGAGCACAGAGACTGAGCCTCTACTCCCTCCACTGAGAGAGAGTGTGTGTGGCTTGTGGGGGAGCCTGTAAGGTTAGGTTATGGGATTGGGGAGGGAGCAAGAGCAAGAAGCCAGGGAAGAACTGATAGGGACAATTCTGGAAGGAGAAGCACTTCATGGCAGGTTTTGGATGTGGCAGCCCAGAGAAGGCTGCAGTGGGCTTCTTGCATTACCTGGCTTCTACTCCTCCCTTGAGGCCAGAGCCTCCCTTGAGCTCTGTCGCTTTTGAGGGGCCATCAACTGCTAGCATATTAGAGACCCCAAACACCTTCTTCCCCTCAGGACCACACAGCCCAGGGTTCTGTGTGAAACCTCCAAAAAAAAAAGAAACCTCCAGAGTCTGCCATTCCTACCAGTCTAGATGTGAATCTCCTGGCCTCTCATCCTCTCCCTGTCTTCTCCTCTCCCCTCCCTCTACAGCTCTGTGCTGCTTCCTGACAAACTCCCTCTGCATTTGTTCCATTATATTCCCTGCCGTAAATAAAATCATCCCCCATCAACCTTGTCCTGTTCACAAGGATAGGAACTGATATACCTACAAAGAACAGGGGACCCTTAGGGACAGAGGGTCATTTTTTATCACCCTCCAGCCTGGGCCATGAGATGGGCAGGAGCAGGTGTCTAGGAAGTTTCTTCTACGATCTCTCTTTTCCTATTAATGTCCTTGGTTCTAAAAGGGTATGTGGGCTTTCTAATTCCCATGTTTTTCATGTCCTGGCACCCCGATTGCTTCTTTCTTCCTTGGGTATTCTCATTTGTTGGATCAGGAAAGGTTAGTTTCAAGTCCTTGGGCTGCTGATGTTCTCTAGCATATACAACTAGGGGGAGGCTTGGGAGGTGCTGAGTTTCCTGATACTAAATTCTCATGAGTAACTGCTTTCTCAGTACTGAGTGAGGAAGTGAGGGTAGTGTCAGCTCAAAGGACAGTCTTATTGATGCCACCAGCTGTTGTCCATAAGCAGCAGTAGCCAGCCTAAGGATCTACCCTGCTCCTTCCCAATGTGAACAGGAATGTAACCCTGAAATACCCATTTCCCACTTTTTCTCTCACCACTCTCCATCATCACATTTCTCAGGATGCATTAGCGAGGCAAGCATTGGAATATTATTAACTAGTGGGTACAGATTTGATCCTGACCTAGGAGACAGGTCAGTTGTGATAAAGGGCTTTCTTGGGAGAATTTCAGCCCATTTCAGCTTCCTTTTTCCTCATCTTTAAATGAGGTTGGTAAAAACTCCACTTAACAGTATGACCCTCCCCCATTAGAGCTTCTATATTTGGTTCTTATTTTTTTCCTCTATATTCCCAAAAGTAACATCACACACAGAGACGTTGAACTTGATGCTTATATATATTGACATCAAACTCCACAACAAATATTATTTGGTGAAAAATAACAGCATAGAACAGTACTTATATTTGATCACTTTTATCTATACATATGTCTATCTAGGTACACAGTTACAGGGAAATATCTAGAAGGGCATTCATCAAAGGGCTAACAATGTTTATATGAGGTTGGAGAGTTTCAGGTAATTTGTATTGTCCTTCATTTTGTGAAAGCCACTTTTTAATGCAAAAAGAAGTCTACTCCCCCCGCCCCCCGCCTCCACTGTTTTTCCCATCTGAAAACAGTTAAGGGTTCACTTGGCTCATTCTAGCACCTTACTTGACGTCCAGAGAGGTCATTGTGTCTGCCAAGGCCCACTTTTGACCTCTCCTTCTCTATATGTGTCAGCTCCTGCAGAGTGATGATCAGATTCTCAAACACCTGGGCCTTGCGGCTCTCACTGTTACAGGTTTCCTTTGGGTGACTTTCCTCACCACAATATGAACAAAAGATTGTGTATTTTCGCTTTCTGGCTCTATGTATATCCCCAGGACCATTATTCTTATACCCAGAACCCCCACTGGTGGAAGGAGATTGAGTTGAGGAGCTGTTGGAGGAATCAATGACCAGTATTTGATCTAGAGGTCTGGCACTGCCTCTAAGGTGGGGGGGGCATCCATAAGTGTAAGTAGAGGGTCCTGAGATTCTACTAGAATCACATCCTCATCTGAGTCGTCAAGGGTATCATCTACCTCTTTCACGTTGCAGTCAGCACTACTGATTGCTATTGGCTGGGGGCTCTGAAATGCTACAGGGCTTGCTGCCCTCTCCAAGATTAGCTCAGACCTTTTGGGCCACTTTGGTTTCATAAAAGTGTCACTCCAATCCTCTTCCTGCTTTATCATCTTGATCAACTCCAAGAAATTAGGAGGATGCTCCTGATCATTTGCATACATCCTGAGATGTTTCAGCCTAAAGCGCAGGTCCCTATTTAGCTTAGCTCCTAAAAGGAGCTGGTGCAGACGAATCTGGTTTGCATCTTTCTGAGCTATGATCCCTGCCTGAATAGCATTCTGGAGCTGTACTTCTAAACGGATCACATAAAGGGAGGTTTTCTCCCCTTGTGTTCGCAAAGTATTAAAAAATTTCCCATGGGCAGTGACCTTGCTTTCAGACTCCCCAAACACCAATTTCATTGCCCGCAAATCAGCCAGCCACACTTAGATTGGGGTTGGTGGCCTGGAGCAAACGCATGACCTCCCGGGCAGGGCCCCTAAGGGTGTTCATCAAGCACTTGAGCTTTTCCTCCTCAGACATATTCCAATCAGGTAGGACCCCAATGACCTGGATCAGCCAGGTTTCAAAGGTTTCTTCCCCTTGGGCTGGCACCACTCTCCCAGAGAACAACTTCACATTTCTTTCTGCCATGTTGACCCTTAAAGGACCAAGACTCCTTCCCATGGACCTCAAAATTGAATGGGCTCAAGGCGGCAAGGGTGTGTTTTGCCGCCGGCTATTACCCACGTGTGCAACGATGCTAGCCATGATGGATGACGGTCTTCTATCTGAATATAACAAGATGCTCAGGCTTTTTAGAAAAGCCTAATCCGTAGGAGGATTCCCCAAAGCAATGCTCCCGGGCACTGGCTTCCTTGTATCTCAATAGTGACTGTAAAGAAAAAGGAGGAAAAAAGGTCAATAAGGTAGTAGATTGCAGGGAAGTGGTCTGCAGTCACTCTACTTCCATGAACACCTTGCAGTACATTTTATATTTGCTCACTGCCGTAAAAATATCCTGCAGGACATTGGCAGTTAGAACTTTCTGGAGCTACTGGGTGTCCTTGTGCTAGCAGGAGTTACATCCATCCCCTCCAGCCAGTCCTCCAGGAGGGAGGGCAACTGTTGCTTTGAATTCTAGGGGAACTAGTGTGTGGAGTTGTTTGTTGGGCTCTCAAAATAGAGTACAATGGTCTAAATCTCACAGTTTTGTGATAATAAGTAAGAAATCAGGTAAAAATCACTGGATGTCAACTATACTCAAATATTTGAAAATTAAAGATCTCAACCACGCACCCTTCTCCGAGATTCCTCCCTCAATTCTCGGATTATAAAACGTAAACTCGGAAACAAGTGTATGCCTTAATTTCACTTCCAGCCTCTGCAACAGTGAGAAAGCTCGCCTTCAGGGTAGGTCGACTTCTGTCCACTGGGGTTTGCAGATCCCAGTCCTCAGGGAGTCAAGACTGCATCGTCTTGTTGGGCAGGACAGAGAAGGGAAGAGTCAGAAGCAGCCTTATCTGTCATTCTGCTGTCTCCCCACCCTCACTCCCGTCTCCGCTGTAGCCAGACGGAAAATTCCTTCTCCCACCTCTTGAATACAAGTCAGTGACCCCTTCCATTACATGTCCCCTGGGAAATCATTGCAGAGCCGTCTGCAATAAGCCGCACAGAATTCAAGTTCGGATTTGGCTTTGATGACCTACCACGGAGAAAGGGAATAAGAGTTGGACACGCACACCTACATATTCCTCCCCGGGAAGAGTTGGAAAATGCAAAAGGGGTTCAAAGCAGACAGCTTGTGATCATCTCCTCCTTGTCCCTATGACCCCTCAGAAACGCCCCTTTCAATTCAGGCAAATCCTACCCATTAGCTGTATCCAGCAAAAACCCCACCCCCTCCCTCAGCACCGCGGGGCCACGGGATTGCTCCACCCTCAACCAACCTCGCAGTTCCCGATTCCCCAAGTGGGGAGCCGCCAAGTACAGGTGAAGCTTCCACTTCCTCTCTCTGTGCTGGGCTATCGCGTCCCCCCCCCCCCGCCCTTTTTTTTGTTACCTGCGCTCCGCGGGTGAGCAGCGGATGCTCAGGCTTGGACAGCTGTGAATGCCGCCTTCCAGTCTCCACGCGCCTGCAGGGGAAAAGGATGACGCCTCCTCTGCCACCAAGAGACCGGGAGCTGCTGTATGGAACTGCTCCCCACAGCCGCCCAGCAAGGGGTAGCCAAGTCTAGCAGCGCGGTTCCCAAGGCAGCCGCGGCCGCCCCCGCCCACCGGCTGGGCCCTCCCAGCAGCCGCCGCTTCAGTTAGCCTCTGCCCATTGACACAATAGATCTTGATGAGCGGGGCGGCGCGGCCAATCAGCGGGGCGCGGGGGAGGCCTCCCCTCTCAGCCTCCGGCCCCCGAGGCCATTGCTAGCAAAAGGGGGGAGCCAGCTGGCGGGGGCTGCGGCACACCGGCGCGGGAGCCAGCGCGGTGTCAAGTGCAGCTCAGACGCACCGACCGGGCCGATTTACATTTTACCCGTGAGTTTGCTGTTTCCCCTTCTCATTCTTTCTCCCTCACCCCTTCCATCTCGACTCTCCTCCCTCCGCTCTTTGAGACCGGATGCCTTAAACACGGGGTGGGACAGAAATCAAGTGAACAATAAGAGCCCCTCACTTCTGTGTAGCGGGAAGGGGAGAAAGTATTTACTGACCACTTTCTGCTTGTGAATGCGTTTGCACGGACGTCTCATTTATTCTTCTGAGCAGCCCTGTGGAGGAGATAGCGGTGTGCCGGTTTAACAGAGAGGGTACTTCAGCACTCAAGCAGTGTGGTTAGGAAGTGCAAAACTAAGAGCTCACACCCAAGTCGACATATCTGATTTCAAAGGCTCCCCCTTCTGAACACTTCTCTATACTCTCAGACTGAAAGTTAGTGGAGAAAAGCCAAAGTAGAGGTGGGAGAGCTCATTTGGAACTATATAGAATTAGTGAGCAAGGACTATTAGTCTCCATTGTACAGATGAAGAAACAGAGGTTAGGCATCTTGCCCAGCACGACACAGCAAATAAGTATCAGCATCCGGTTTTGTATCCAAGCCTGTTGTTCTAATGCTGTTTGCCCAGCTGAGCTGCCTAGAGAGTATTTTTACATTGGTCTCAAACCCACCAGAAGTCTTGGTGTGATGGTAGTGTTGAGTGAGAGGGGTGGAGGAGGCAGCAGGGAGTAGGGAAAGCGGTGGGCAACTTTTGCAGTAACCGTTGTACAGGAGAGGAAACTAAAGCACTTTTCTTTCTCATTTTACACTATTTTTATACTACAATAAGCTGCCTATTTATTAAAAAAAAAAGTAAAACATTTCTACAGCTTATGAGCTCAAAGGAAACAAGACTCAGAGGTGAGATGCCTTGCCTGAGATGACAAGGTGAAGCCAAAATTTGGACCAAATCTCTCTGACACCAGAACCCATGCTATTAACCAAAGTATGGGTACAAGACTGGCTGCCTCAAAATCATTTTGGAGAGCTTTTTAGAAATGCGGATTCGTGAGCTCCACCTCTGGTGGATTCAGATTTACTGGGACTAGCAGTGGGGAGTGTGATTTATATTTTTAACCAGGGCTGTAGTTAATACTGAGATGTAGAGAAGTTTATGAATCACTGCTGAATGCACATCATACTGAGGGTAATAAGTAAATGGCCTGCTGCCAATGTATCTGGCCACAGCACATCTGTCATGAAATGTAACTCCACTGAGCAGAGGTTCCCAACTAGGGTCATTTCTGAAATTGTTTACAAAGAATTTGGACTCTGTATTTTTCTGAGTCCTTAGTTTTGGAGATTTTCAAGTAAGTCTGTGGCCCAGAAATGGTTTAAGATTCATTCGCCTGCAATCTTTCTTCATAATATCTTCCTCTTTCAACTTGCACTTCAGGAAGAAGTGTGAGAAATGAAACAGTTTGACCTAACCCGTGATCCACAGATCTCTACCGCTGATACAGCTCTTTCATTTCCTGGCTTGAGGACAGGTTGCTAGGTTGCCCTTCTGTGAGCTCTTGAGGGGACCTCTCCTTTGCTGGATTTGGCATCACTGGCCCTAGAGAAGAGCAACTCCATGGAAACGGCATGCAGGGCTGTCCTGCAGGGCTGCCAGCTTGAATGGTCTGTGAAGCCAGTGGCTGGGAAACTTTCTCTATATTCTATGACTTCTGGTTTTTGGAGAGCAGGTCTTACTTTCCTGATGTAAGTTGTGGCCAGAAGGCCCCCTGTGGGACTTTTTCTGGACTTGTTCTGGATGCTTGGAAGTAGATGAATAATCTAATGCCCTTCGACTGTTGTTGGGTTCATCTTCAACCTGCCAAGATACTTTACCTGATGCTCCTCTCTGTTGTAATCGTCGTCGTCTTCTAATTTTTTTTACAAACCCAATACCTAGGGTTCCTTGAAGTAAACATGTCAAATTTGGAGATGAGGACTTTTATCTGAGGACTGTGGCCTTTCTCTTGTGGATGGAACAGAGTGGGAGGTTGTGGGAGGTAGAGAGAAGTCTCACCTCACAAAGTCAGGGGTGATGCTGGTGGTAGCTCTTGGGTTTCCTTCAGACTTTTACTTCTGCTCCCCGATACCATGACATCTGACCCTGGGTCTCAGCAGATTCCTGCTCTGTGTTTAAATTAGCTTCACTGACAACTTAGGTGATCTGCAGCTGGACCTGGTGGAGATGGGATCAAATAAACAAAGAATAGACCCTAGAAATCTGACCCAAAAAAAGTGAAAAGAAATGGATTGTGTAAAAGTGCCTGCATTGGACCCTTAATACAAAGCGAGGATCTCTTCGGGCTGGGAGAAGGATTTGCTGAGCTGGCTCCATTTGGATACAGAGCATCCCTTATCTCTGGCCTCATGTGTGGGAGCATGTTCCAACTCATGGCTCTAATGAGACCACATTTTCTAATTTCAACAAAGAAACCTTAAAAGCCTGAAGGTTAGGGAATTAAAATTTTTCAGCTGAAACAGTAGTAATAGCTTCTCTTGGCTGCCTGCCTCCTCTGTGCCAGGAACTTTCCATCTGTTATCTCATTTAAGCTTCTCAGCAGCCCTGTTAGAACGTCATTGTTATCCCATTTTGCAGATAGGGAACCCGGGTCTCAGAGAAGTTAAGTAACTTATATAAGGCTCCACAACTTGGTAGTGGAGACACTGGGACTCCAGCCCCCTCAGGGCTGTCAAACTCCCAGGCCAATGAACAGCTTTGCTCTACTGTCTCCCAGACAAGCAATCTAAAATGAACTCTGCAGAAGACCCAATGCATTTGACTGATTTCAGCCTTTAGAAAAAGTGTAGTTGTAATCTCATCTTTATTTCTGGGATCTTTCTCTTTTTTTGTTTCTCTCTCTTTTTTTTTTTTAAATGAAACTACCAATATAACTTATGGAGCAATTTATACATGAGTACTGTGCTAAGAATTTTATATACTTCATCTCATGCAAGCTTCATGACAATCATTTTACAGATAAAGATACTGAGGCTCGGAGAGGTGAGGAGACTTGGCCAAGGTCATAAAGCTAGCAAGTGGCACAGTGAAATGCACTGTCTGCAGGCTGTCTGACTCCAGAGCCTGTGTCTTCATGCTATAACACATTGCAGTGGGGGAAACAAATATGGCCCTTATTCTAAATCCGCTCCTCTCTGCCAACCACAGCTCTGTTTCCTTCCCACAGCCTGCACTCAGAGCTGTGCCCCACTCATGCTTTTAGATCTCTGTAACTTAGACCTCTTGCTCAGC